AGTTTTGCCTTGGGTCACTAGTTAATTTGATAAAAAAAAAAGAATTTACAATAGCGGTACGTGTCATATTTCGTAACAATTATATAGTGTGAACGAATGAGTGAATTATTTAATATACGTAAGCTAAAGATAGATGAAAGATGGCTATATTAAGTAAAATTCTTTTAAAGAAGTCAATTTTATGGTACCAAATAAAAATACTTTTAATTGACCGAGGAAATATAAAATAAAAAGAATTAAGTTGGCGCATTTTTGCTATTATTAGAACTCGTGGAGAAAAGTAGTTTTACTGGTCATTTTCTTAGTTTATTACTATGTGTATACAAAAAAAAAAAATTACTATGTGTATACAATAAATGCTTTTTGTCTTTGACAATTAAGTGGATAGAAGTTTAAATTTATGATCGTGATTCTTTAATTTCTTAATAGTCGTACGTACTTGGGTCTTTTACTCGTGGTTATGTTGGCTTGTGCGGTGTGACTTGTAAACTTCGTTATCCTGCGTCTATTGTCATGCTCTTTGTTAGTTGCGAATGTTTCTTCTATGTTCATGTGTCTAGTGGTAGTTAAGATTTCTAAATAGCCGTAATATTTTCGATTTGGTTTTTTCGATAATATTTCAGATATTTTCCGGTAAATTTTTGTGTTATGTTTCAGACATTTTGAATTTAAACTTCGAAACCTAAAGTGATATTAAATTTGGAACTGTCAAAATATTATTTTTTGTCATTTGACTATAACTTACACTTACATTTCCAAATATAAACTAGAACTTTGACCCCAATAAAAAAAAAAAAAATCAAAACTCGAACTACTATGATATCACACTAATACAAACCACTAACCACTAGAATACATAGCTAGATCTAAACTTTGTTTTTAAATATAGATTTTCATGTTTACCAAAAAAAAGATAAAAATTTTCACATTATATATTTTATGAGTTTTGGTTCAGTCTTTACTAATATACATAAGATTCATATAGATCACACGGCTCTCCAAACATAAAGATATACTCGAACTCAAACATAAGATAAGACACTAAAAAGATTATTCTTACGCATAAATTAAAGCTTTTAACTAACTTGTATTTTAAGTTTC